AGTTAGAAGTTAAAAATTGACATTCAAGGGCTACTTCTCAAACTTCTTGTTATTTTTTAGCTCAAAGTGCTCGAAAATTTACCTACACTGTAAAAAATTTGTGCAGTGAATGATTCTGAGTCAATTCGATTCTCCCGGAGTAAAAATTTTATTTATATGATCAATTTAATATGTAAAAAATAATTGATAATTTTTAAAATTTTCACATGTATCATTGATTAATATTAAAGTAATTGATTTTAGGTAATTAAATCTGGTAATATTAATGATATATTATTCGATACTTTTTACATTAAAATTTAACAAGACAAAATAAAATAATTTTTATGACAATTTAGTTTAATGTTTCAAAAAAGTCAAATTTATTTGAAAAATACAGTAGAACCTCTATAAATTGAACATCAAAGAAGGCGCCAAAAAATTCACGTTGTAGAGTTTTTGATTTATAGAGAATTTTAACTTAGGTGGATTTCGATTTGACATAATAAAGAGGTTGAGATTCATTCTTATAAATTTTGAGTTAGAAAGGTAAAATAAATAAAAATTCAAGTTGCAGAGGTGACACACATTTTTTTATTTATTATAAATCAACATTATTTCAAAATATCCTTTAATATGAAAAAATATGCCATTAAAAAAAGTTAGTAATTTTTATTGCGTTATATAATTCGGTTGTTCTCTATATATATATATAGCATTATCTAAAGCAAGGTTGTAAAATAAAACATTGCTATGTTCGAGATACAGAGGTGAAATTTAATTTTTCGAGTTATGGACGGAAAATATGTATCAAAATGGCTTGAAAGGACTCACTTATTATTTCGACTAATAGAGGGTTGAAATTTCGAGTAATGGAGGTTTTCGTGTTTGAAGGAAAGGGAACAAAACATTTTTTTGAGATTTGGAAGTTTTTAACTTATCGAGGTTCTACTGTATAATTAATACTCATCAACTTAAATTTCAGATAAATTGTTTAAAATAATTGTTACACGGAAAAAAGTAAACTGTAATATTCACTCGGATTCCGGTTAATTTTGATAGTTTAAAACAGTAAAGCGGACATTGGGGTGGCAAAAATATAAATACTACAGAACTTAATGTAATAACTTTCATCTTAAAAAATTACAGTTTCAAACAGTAAAAATTGCTATTTCAATATATAGTCCATATTATGAGGAGAAGGGGAACTCAGATGAAAGAGAAAGGGGTCTCACTCTGGGAGAATTTAACATTTGAAACAGTAAAAATTATACTTTTAAAATATACATTTTACCAGTCCAAGCAAGTTAATAATTACAGTTTGATTTTTAGCGTTTCGTTTAAAATTTACCATTTTACTTTGTAAATATTGACGTTGCTTGTACTAGAAATTTAGTAACTTTATTTTATATTTTTTACATATCAAAAAATCATTTTTTAGGTACGAAATGATAAATATCAAAGTCTGAATTCTTAATTATAATACTTAACATTTTAGACATTCACATAGCGAATATTACTGTTTGAAATAGTATTTTCTTCCATGTAAAGAGTAAATTGTAACGTTTAAATGGTAAATATTATAAAATTAATAGTAAAATCACGATTTTATTGTTTGAAATGGTAATTTTTAGCAGTTGGTCATTACTTATTATAAATCGACTGTTATTTATTACAGTTTACTTTTTTCCATGTAGTAATTTGGCATATGAAATTTTTTTTAGTCAAATAACAATTATTTTAGTCTTAAAACTCCGAACTAAGATATTTTTTGGATTAAAATCTATATTCACTCCTGAATTATCAAAAAAAGGCCATTTGGCACCAGCCAAGATGGAAGGTAGATTTTATGTAATCCATGATTTTAATTACGATATTATGAATAATTATTATTCCTCAAGTTTATCAGAAAAGTAAATCGGCTGCCAAATTTTAAAATACAGTGATTTATTAGATTTTCGAAAATTTCAAATGGCTGCCATTTCTAAACTATTTGAGGGATTTAGCTCATTTTTGAACTCATCCAAGCTGATTGTATATAGAATTACTCAAGTGTGTTATGTTTACCAAACTTTTGATTTTCTTCATCTATGAAAATAAAAAATAAGAGTTAATATACGAGAGAGTGTTTAGTGTAGGTATTTATGAACAATTGCTTCAAAAATGACGTGAATTATTACTGTAATTGTTTATTCTCACAGAATAATAATATAAAGGATTAGATTATATAAAGTAGACTAAAAGACTAGACTCGACTAGACTATAAAAGACTTTCATTTGTATAATAGTAAATGGGTGCATGAAACTTTCATCTGCGGTACTTATGAAGTGACTGCTGAGTTAGTTTTGTTGTATTTTGCGATCAGCTTTCATTCAATGTTTGTGTTATTATGCAGTGTTATGAATTTTGTTGAGTCACTTCTATTAATTCTTTTCATTTTCTATACGCGCTTTACTGTACTGTTAAGGAAAATATATGGGAATAGCGGAAGACATTCGTTGGTTTAGTAGAAGACAATCATTTCTTAACCGTTTAATACCTATTTATTGCAACTTTTCTGATAATTAGGGAAAAATAAAAATCCGATTAACTAGTTCTGTTCCTGCATTAGGACATTGGTTGTAAATCATTTATTTATTTAGAGTCATAACTTATTTTTTTTTTAATTGTGCTGTTTTAAAAGTATAAGTTGATCGGTGTCACGTGAATTAAGAGCCAGTTCTGCAATATTAAGTTATTTTTCAACCGATTTAAAACCACTTTCGGAGTCAATGAGATTTGAAATTGACGTCCCGTTATATTTATAGATACTTAATGTACTTTTAGTGTTAGCATTACAGAAGCTAGAATTTCTTACGACTCATTACAGTTTTCTGACGGATTATTCAAGAATGTTCTTTTTATACCTAACATTTATATAAAAATTTGAAAAATCCAAAAGTGTCCGCCTCATAAGGCTCTTTTTGTTTTTATATGAAAAATAAATCACATTAGTAATTTTTAAAATAAGAGCGCACACTGAAAATAAATTAACTAGAATAAAGAGTAAAATTGTTGAACCAAAAAAATAATTTTGAAGAAGCTCATTATCTTGAATCAAAACACAATATTCTTGAATTAAGTAAAATTTACTTAAACCGAGTAAAATTTCTTAGTTTAAGAATTTTTCAACTCAAATCAGAAAGATTAAATTCTTTAAAATTATTTACTTGATTCAAGTTAATTTTTTTCTGTGCATAAATTAAGTATTTTTATTATATAGAAAATTCAATAAAATATGATTTAATTGGAGATTTAAATATTTTGGATAGTTTTCGAAAGATAATAATTATTATTATAATATAATTTAAAATTAAATGTATATTGAAAAAAAAATCTCATCAATAATTGAATATTGACAGATAATTTTTAACTTCCCGCTAAAAATCTCAGATTTTCAAAAATCGGGAAGTTATTGTCTTCACCCCGTTTTGCAAAAATCTAATTTTCATCAGATCTCGGCGTTTTAAAGTCATAGGAAGCTTCCCTGACTACCCCCGCGGTGGTGTCTGTATGTATGTATGTGTGTGTGTGTGTGTGTGTGTGTGTGGATGTATGTGAACCTCTCATAACTTTTAAACGGCTTGACCGATTTTATCACGGTTGGTGCCATTCGAAAATTTTGAGAAATCGCAAAAAAACTACAAAAAAAAATTTTTCATAAGTGGTTTTTTTGAAATAACTTTCAAACGGCTCTACCGATCAATTTCAAAAACTAATCAGCTCTTAACGTCAAAAAACCACGTCGATCGCCGCCAGTCCGGTCAAAATCGGTTAATTCGTTCGGGAGTTATCGTTGACGAAAGAAAACCGAAAAAAGCGTTTTTTCGGAATTACTCCGAATTTTTCCACTCTGTCGATATAAACTTAAAGATTTTTTATGAAGCTTAAAAAACTGCGTCGAATGCCGCCAACCGCGTGAAAATCGGTTCATTCATTCAAAAGTTATTGCGATTTGAAAATAAAAAAAATAGTGTTTTATCAAACTTCTATCAAACTTTTGAGCTCAAAGAGCTCAAAAGCATACAAAAGCTATTTTTTTGAGCTTGGAGAGCTCGAAATAATACACAAATTGTATTTAAGAGCTCGAAGAGCTCTAAAACGTCATAAGTGCAATTTCAAGCGTATAGGTATAGAATTGGCGGGAAGTTGCAGGGATGGCCTTCAGGGTCAACCGTTTTCCTAATTTTTTTTTTTTAATATATTATTATATTAGAGAAGCTATGACTCAGTTTTTGCGTTGTTAGAATACTTAAGGTGACATTGATAATTCTGGTAATAAATAACTCTCACTATCACAAAAGTTGTTAAAAACCTTACTAAATGCCTAGGAAAACTTCTGACTCATATTGTTATTGCGATTGATAAATATTAATCGTTAAAACAACGCCGTTTCTTCACTTTTAATCTTAACGCTGAATATTTTAAAATTAAAAACGGGCTATTTTTTTTTACATATTTAATATATATTTTTTGAAATTTTCGTTGAAATATATTCAAAACTCAGCTATTGCGATGTCTTTTCCAAAGAGTCTTTCGAAAAAAGGCGCTTTTGCGGTGACAGCATAACTCCTGACAGAATCATGAGAAATCAAAATATCAATTGGGTTTTTTATTTAATACCTAAAACTAGAATTTGGACGAAGGAAAAAATAAAAAATTTTAATTTAGATTATTGGCAGAGCTTAAAGAAAAAAAATTTTAGTTTCGCTTAAATTTGTCCTACATTTTGATTTTTTAAAATTAGTTTAAAGAATGTCAAAAAATAAAAATAAAAAACTCAAAAGTTATTTGAAAACTAATATAAAAATACGAGACGTGTCACCAACAGTTACTTTATTAAAAAATATAAAAACAATAATGATATTTTCCCCTACTTTCAAGTCTTTATTTTCAGTATAAATAAGCTCGCTCTTGTTTACAGTCACCAGTTCCAAACGAAATAATAAACTTACTATCGTTCTGAAGAAGTAAAGCCATCATGAAAATTTTATCGATTTTCCTTGTTGTCTTAGTCATTTTTGCAGTGGCGGTCAATGCTAAAAGCAAGTCTGAAGAAGTAAGGATACATTTTTCCAATTTTCCTAGTACCCTTTAATTAAGAATTTCAGTATGATCGTTTTATACTAATTTATAAATACGTTTTTCTTCGAAACAACTGTATTCCAGCTACAGATTGTTATTATTTTAAGCTTTTGAAGTTAATCATTATCAAAGATCAATTTAATAAAAATTATTTTTTTTATCTCAGACAACGATGCCTTCACCCAATATTATATTATGAGCAAATAAACGTATAGAACATCGCAGAATTTATTAAATCTAATGTGTAATAGGCGTTTCTTCGGGTAAGGTAGTATTAATTGTCAAAAAAATTGTAATTTTTGGCCCACTTACTTATATGCTTTTGCACATTTTGGTTTTTTAAATTATGACAATCTGAAAAATAAATAATGTGTTAACGGAATTTTCATTCTTTCCATATTTTTATAGACAATAATTTCTATCCTCTATCATTTAAGACACATTTATTTTTAGTATTATACTTTTAGATCCAAATTTCGTTGATTCTCAAAAAAAAAAGTATTAAGTCGTGCTGCACCACGATTTTATCCCGTTGCTGTTTTTTTCACTTTTTTTTTTACTGTTTTTTTCACTCAACTATTTTTTTCTGTGTATCAATTTGAAATGATGTCATTATAATTATAGTTTTTTTATTGATTAAGTTTTAACTAATTTAGTCACAACTAAAATCAATAATAAAAGAGATCAGCAGAAAAAAAGAAGTCAACGTTTAGAAAATCAAAAAGTGCACGTCTCATTACGCTCATTCATTTTTTAAGAAAAAAATAAATTGTATAATTGATTTTTAAAAGGAAAAAAAATAATTGAATTATTTTTTACAGAATATTTTCTTATTTTTTTTTTTTTTTTAATTATTGGCGCTTATTTTTATTGTTAATTGCGCTCGCAATATAAAAAAATCTAGATTAAGTGGTGCTATAGTTTTCACGTAAGAGAAATAAAAAAAAGTTCTAATGTTTTTTTACGTGTGTATCACAGTAAATTTTAATAAAAATAGATTAAAAAAAAACTACTTAAACTAAGCTACTGATATGACATACGGTACCAGTTAATCGAATTCTAGAATTAATAAATAAAAGCCCGGTCTCAATACATCAATTTGTTCATTTTTTTTTCTTTCAAAATATAGCAACATAAAAAGATTCTTAGAAATTATAAGATGGATTAATTTAAGAATTTTCTCGATGTACATCTACTCATATTGTTTTACAAATGCAATATAGTTGTAATAGAGACATTTGAAGATCACAAATTGCTTGGCCTTGACGAGTCAGGAGTAAAGCACTATCTACACCGCTTCACTAGAACTTGACACCTAAAAGTTAACTCTTCATTAAAGAGATAATTTAGCGATCATGTGCCATCTGTCGGAGGTTATCATTACTACTTTTAACAGTAAATCACAGAATAACTAAATTTCACATTTAAAAAGTGTTATTAATACTTATTTTCAAAAACAATTTATACGAATAAGAAATTCATTTTTGAAATATATAATTATATATTTTTTGAATAAATATTTTTTAACGCATAAAACATATGTTAATTTTATAAGAATATATTTAATGGATTAAACCACACGGAAAAAAATAAATAGTAAATGCAACATGATGCAGTCTTGGTAAATAAACATGATGAAATCATGTTGCAGCCACTTGTCATGTTGATTTGTTATGTTGCGGCTACATGACAATCATGTTGCAGTAGCATGAGAAAAATCATGTTGCAGCAACAAGATTTTCATGTTTCGGATACATGGCAATCATGTTGCGGTAGCATGAGAAAAATCATGTGGCAACAACATGATTTTCATGTAGCCTTATTAGCATAAAATTGTATATAATTTGAATGAACAAAGATATCGTTCACAAATTGTATAATTCGATAATTTACTCTTATTGTCATCTGCAATATTATAAAATCCTAAAAAACCTAGTTACTTTAGAATAAATAATGTTTCCTAAACATAAATATTTAATTGTTG